TGAATACTGGGGGCAGACCTTTCTGCTGGGAGGGAGACAAGCAAAGATTCTGGTTGTCACACTCAGCTTACTTCATTCTCACCTTTTCCTGAAATGCCTGTGGACTGTTCCATCATCCTTTGATGCTATCGTGATCTAAGAAGTTTACAAAGCATTTAATTTTAGAAATGATTGGTTTTGTAAGTGTTACCACGAAGGATGAATCCATTGATCAGGGGTTTCCTTTTTTGCCAAGCATCATTGTTTCCAACTCAAAGCATGTCTGTTCCTGCTTTCCTACTGCCTAGATTTTTTTTCTTTCAAGTTTTCATTCTCCATGTCATGGGACTTTCAGAACAGTTTGCTTCTCTTCTCAAAACTCATCATGTGAGAGTCACTGCTTACACAATTTTCCCTTTCCTTCCTTGGAATCTGTAGGCTTTGATAGACCAGCAGCCTGTCTGGGACAGGAGAAGATGCTTTCTGGGCCCCTCCTTGCAGCACAACACGTTGGTTGGGAAGGAAAATCTTTTGTTAATGGGGATGGAATCTGGGTTTGGTCAGATAAGGTGATTGAGATTAGGGCTTTAAACCCAGCTCTTCTCCTTACTTCCCATCAAAGGTGAGTGCTAACTGTTTAAATTTTAGAGAGTTGACAAGAAGAGGGGCATTGGCTTTTATAGATATGATATGGCAGGGATGACACATGGAAAATAGGAATTGAGCATAGACTATATTCGAAACCCCCAAATTTCTCTTCTATGCTGCTGTCCCTAAAGCTGCTTGTTGTTTCATATTTGTCTTTTATGGTGTCCTGCATTCTCCCCAGAGTCTCACAATAATCTTCCTAAGGAAGGGAATGTACTCATCATAAACAGAAGATAATTAAGACTTAGTCATGTGACTTAAATCAGTGTCACATGCAAGACCTGGAGCTAGAACTCCCATGAATATGGATTTGATTTTTTCACTTATAGGCCCTGAGTCAGGTTCTTGTTAAGGGAAGTAGAAATTCAATCCCCTTCCACCTGTTTGTTTATTTAATGTGTATAAATACTTTTGTGCCTATTTGAGTGGCAGGCAGATCCTGGATATAGTAAGCACTCACGGACCCAAACCATGCCCATAAACTGTGGAGGACAAACATGAGTAGATAGAAATCTGAGACTGTGTGATGAGTACTGTGACAGAAGAAATCAAGTGCTAATGTAGCACACAGGAGGGCACCTACCTGGACTTGAGAGGTTAGGGAATGCCAGTAAATGACACAGGGGTTAAGACCCAAGAGGGAAGGTATTCTAAGAAGAAAGAACAGCATATACAAAGCCTGAAGGCAAAAGGAATTGAAGTGCAGAATGCCTGGAGTGTAAGGAAAAGAGCTTGGAGAGGAAAAAAGTCCTAGTTTACAGGTCACATTAGGGATTTTTAGCTTTAGCTCATGGGCAATGGGAGGTTGGTAAAAGATTTAAAGACTAGAAATGTTGCTTGGTTGGATCTGGGTTTTAGAAAGTCACTCAAGAGCATGCAGAAGATGGGTGGGAGGGCTGAATGCAAGGAGAACTTTTTGCTCAGCCCAGGAACTACTCCTTCAGCAAACACATCAGTAATCCCTGTAGACTTGGTTATATTAATTCCCTTATGGAGATTATTGTGAAGGTCTGGTGAGAATAACAAACACTATAGAAGACAAAATTCATTCTCATTATTTTGCATCAAGATTGCCCATTGCTGAATGCCAGCTGTGGGCTAGTGATTCTTTAATGCTTAAGAAGAGAATGAGGATCCACAGACAGAAGAGTTTTGTTCTGCCTCTTTAATTTGAGGAATCCAGGTGGAGAGGAGCCTTAAATTAGATGTCAGTATTGGGGTGGTTTACTCTGACAAATTCATTGGCAAATGTCAGTCTCGCTTGGTGCAAAACCTCATTTGGCTTCATTCTCTTTGCAGAAAAAATAGAAATAAAACCTCCCTCATTGTGAGGATTCTATGAGGTGATGGGTAAAAAGTGCCAGGCATGTGTTTATTCACTTATTTTTTTTCTGTCCTTCCTTAACACTGAGGCATTCAAAGTAAAAGCCAGAAATCTTACATGCTGTCTGACCCACTTCCTCTCTGACCTCTCTTCCTGTTCTCCTGGCACACTCTGCCATACCAGTGCTGGCCTCCTTGAGCTTTCTTGAATAGACAGACAACCTCAGAACCCTCACATCTGCATGGCTTGTTTCCTCATCTCTCTCAGATTTTTGTTCAAATGTCACTTCCCCAATGAGACCTACCCAAGCCAATCTTAAAAACTCCAAGTCTTCCCACTCTCTCACATAATGATTCTCCTCCCTACCAGCCTTGATTTCCTCCATAGTTCTTATAACCTTCCAACATGTTACATAATTTGATTATTTAGGTTTTCAATTAAAATTTTCATTTTTTTAATATTTAGTTTGATCATGTACTCTTCCCAGTAACATGTGAGTTCCACAAAGGCAGAAAGTTCCTTCAGCATTATTCATGGCTGCATCTCTGGTGTGTACAATAATGCTGGGCTCTCAACTGGTTGTAGGAAGGAATGAAATGTTCACTGAGCCCTGAGCCGTCATCCAGAATAGCAGGAGTTGGGTGAACACTGGTACTGAAGAGTCTTCCTTGCCCCCTGAGCACTCTCCTGAAATCTGGCTGGATAGTGATCCCTGACTAGGAAGAGAAGGGTTCTAGCCCTTCATTCCTTAGGAAAATGAGAACATTGTCCTTTGCCTTGTGAACAGCTTACCTTAAGGGAGAACTTTTAACTCTTAGAGGCTTCTTCACTTCAGCTTGTAGTTGCCCTTGAAGGTGTGGAAACCAACATTTCCCCCTTCAGCAGCTCTTTCAGTCACCACTGCTGGGCTGCCTAAGTTGTTTTTCTCCTTTACTCTCTTCCTGTCCCCACTCCTTGAACTTAAAAATGATCTCTTATTGAAGCGGATGGCAGGGTAAGGCCACACTGGGCACACAGTTCCCAGAATGTAGCCTAAATCTGTATGCTTGCCCCGCTTTGAGTTCTGAGGAAGTTACTGCACATGAAATGAAAGGAGGAATTGAGGTGGCCATGTCTGGGTGATTTGAATATTTGGATTAGTTTCATTCATTCATTTACTGAATTATTTATTCATATTTAGAGTTAATTAGAGAGATTGAAGGTAAAGCATTAGGGTTGTGGAAATACACAGAAGAGAAAGCTTTTTTTTTTTTTTATCAATCAAGTTTCTGCTACAAATGTGTTGTATAACAACCCCCAACTCCAATGGCTTTCAACAACATATATTTCTTGCTTTCAAATCTGTAGGTCAGCTGGAATGGCCCTGCTATACGTGGTTCAGGCTCAGGTCTCTTACAGGGAGGGAATGAGGAGTTAGGAACAGTAACTTCATCTATCACAGCATTTGACTCTGACTATGGAAGTTAGGGAAGGCTCCCTGGAGTTGGTAACTTTGATCCTTCCTGAAGCGTAGGTAATTTTCAAGACAAGGAAGCAATAATATACAGAAGTGTATTAAATTTTTAAAAGATTGAATTAATGTTTTAATGTTGAATTAAGTAGTCACTGTAATATGCAAAAGATGTAGGAAAAGAAAACAAAGATCACCAGAGTACTGCTCTGTCCATTAAGTCCAAACTTCATGGGGTAGGTTAGAAAAAGCTATAACACAAATGAGGAAAGAAAAATTTATAATCAAGTGTAATCTTATTTAGCAGGATGGAACAAAAGTGTGAGCTCAGAGAGGAAGCTAGAATGTATTTTTAGTAGCTAGTTTGGGTACAGGATGCAAGCTATGGGATGTTTTAATTCATTATTTTATTTAATCCTTTTAAGGATTAACTATATAACCTGTAAGGATAGCCCAATGTTAGGTAAAATGAGCAACAAGGCCTCAGAGTGGTAGGTAATTTGCTTAATGGCTTATAGCTAGCAAGTAGTAGAGGAAATACTTCTCAGTCATTATGGTTTGCAAGGAATTTATTCATAAACTTCACTCAGTAGTGTAGATACTCTGTTTTGTTCTTCAGTGAGGTTGCTTTCAAACTTGTTGTACACATGGTTTTGAGTGTCTCCTGTATGTGCAGCACTTCGCTTGTTAAAAGAACCTAGATCCTGGAGTAGATAATTTTCAGGTCCTGTCTGGCCTTGGCATTCTTTATGTCTTACCTTTTCATTTCACATGCATTTAAGATGCCTCAATAAAGTAGGATTCCTACCTATGTTGCTACTCAAAAATGCTTGCAGTAAGGTTGGGGTTATAGCTCAGTGGTACAGCTCTTGCCTAATATGTGAGGCACTGGGTTTGATTCTCAGCACTGCATATAATTAAATAAAATAAAGGTCCATCAACAACTTTAAAAAAATTGCTTGCTGTAGATGGTGGCATGTTTTGAAATTCTGTCTCTTTCCTCCTTTTTCCCAGTTTGTATATACATACCAGCAAGTATTCAGAAATGAAGAGAGGCAAGGTTGGTAGTTTCCTTCAGACCCAGAAAAGGTTAGAGGTGCAACTTGGTGAATAATAACAATTCCAATATTCTGCAAACTACCTCTACCTAATACTAGTTCTCCTGTCAGTACAGAACTCATATGTACTCCATTAGAATGTTCCTACTTGTGAAGAGCTGAGCATTTATGATTTTTATTTCTAGGCTTCTTATCCATAATTACGTGACAATTGGAATCACATCTCCCTGTTCTTACCTTTAGCTTGACTTTTTAGCTGGGAGTTAGTGGAGAACTAGTTCCTTTTCTGTAACCATACCTTACTCAGGTGATTGTTAAACATTGACAGGCATTTTTGTGTGCTCTCCATCTTGGCAGTCTGGAGTTGGGTTGAAGCTTATTTTGTGACCCATTTACCACATGCTCAGGAAGCTGGCAGAACTGGTTTCTCTCATCTCAGAGACCATCTCATATAGTAGTTTGAAAAATCTTGTAATTCTGAGCAGTGCTTATAAGAACTGCTTCTCACTTTCTCTCCGGTTGTTGTCTCATGATTTGCCAGGTTGGAGACTCCAATGTTGCTGCCACTCACCAAATTGACAACCAGGTGGAGAGACAATAGACTGCATCTGAGTCAGACTGGTCCAGAGAGGACACATGCTAGGAATGCTCTGAAGACCCTAGCAAGGAATACCACATCCTCCTGAAAGCCTTTTCGTGAGGTCATCCTACGGACCACTGTTGTCTCATGGAAAGGGGCATTTAGGATTCGGCTGTCAACCCCCCAAAAACTTTTGCTGAGTGAAAACAAGACTTTTGCCACAGAACTAAGCAAGATATTATTTCATTTAATTTTTGAACCTTTTGATCTTTCTGATTAGAATCCTGACTGTTGAGCCTTGAGAATTTTAAGCTACATTTATTGCTACTATTTTTATGCTCACTTCTCAAAATGATTGATTTAAGCTTCCTGACAGAGGAGGAACAAGAGGCCATTATGAAGGTTCTGCAGCGGGATGCTGCCCTGAAGAGGACCGAAGAGGAGAGAGTCAGGTAAGAGGCCAAGGACTCCTCAGGCATGAGGAAGGAAGAGGCAGTGCATAAGAAAATAGGGCATTTTTTGGTTTTGTTTTCAACCATAAGTGGTAGTTCTGACTTGGAGCCTAAACTTATGGGTTCCAATTTTAGGTTTACTTCCTGGACAGAACTCTTTCCTCCTCATGTCTCTTAAATTACTCCATTGGATGTCTGCCAGAAATAAGGTCTTGATTAAACACTTAAGCCAGGCGCAGTGGCACATGCCTGAAGTCCCAATTACTTGGGATGCTGGTTTGGGGGATCAATTAAGCCCATGAGTTTGAGACCAACCTGGGCAACACAGGCAAGATCCACTACCCCCGTCTCAACAGAAAAAATAAAAATAAAAATGAAAATAAACAAAAACCTGCACTCCTTTAACTTCTTAAGCACCAAGTTAAAAATGAAATAGGTACAAACATATATAACTACATCCATATGTGTGTGTTTTTATATCTAATTTTGAAAACTGAATCCATGTTTTTCTAACTGACTCATGAACTAATTTAGAATTTTAAAAATTTTATAAAATTTTTAAAATAAAAGACATTTGAGAAGTAGCTCAAATGTCAGTATACTTTCAGAAATGTTGGTATCAGTTTTAATAGCAAAATTAAAAATACTCTCTGAGCAAGTCAAATTTTCATTAGGCTTGAGTCCCATAAAGAGGAGTGGCAACTCTGACACACTACCCTTGTTGGGTGGAACCCGAATGTTCCACGTCAACATTCCTACCACTTTCACTCACCTTTGTAATACAAAGAGCACTAGAACAGACTGTTGAATAACTGGGCATAGTCCAGACCCCATTTATTATTTGTGTAATCTTAGGCTTTGAAGGCAGTGAAAGGCCTCTTGAATGTTAATTGTACTAATTTTATGGTCCCTGTCACAGGAGTTAACCAAAAGGGGTATAAGCCATGTTCTTACTTTCTGGAATACAAGGACCATGAACAATGGATTTATTTGCACTGTTTTCCATATTTTGACATTATGGATATATTATAAAAGAACATGCTGAAATTTCCTTCAAGCACTGCAGACTCTATGATGGTAGCTAGTGATAATTCGTGCATAGACATTGTTTAATGAGTTACAAAGGGCTTATGCACACATTGTTGTGTGGGATATAATTATCCCATCTGATGTATGAGGAAATTGACGTTGAGATCGGTCAGATGACTTGCTCAAGCTCACATGAACAATAAGTGTCAGAATGAGAGGGAAGTCTTCATCCATTAATGCCTCCTTGTCAGACAGGTCATCCTGGCACCTGGAATCCAGAAGGTGGTGTTGTGGTGTGAGGCAAGACACTGAATGGTAATCATGAAACTGGGATCATGTGCTTTCCCTCAAGCCACTTGCACTACTCCTGTTCCCAGCTGGTATTGAGCAGTGTTTCCCTGGGGCACAGAATTGATGCTAATCCTTCACCACAGCCTCTTGATAGCATTATTGCTTTATCCATTCACAATTTATAAAGCCTTTTCAGGAACATGGTTCTCTTAAGTTGCTCATAGAAACCCCGAGATTTCCACGTCAGGGACTTTTACACCCATTTAGGAATAAAGTACCAGCCAGTCTTTAGCCATCACAAAAATGTTGCAAATCTCTTGGCAGTGTTGATTTTGCAGACTGTCCTTTGGTCTTCTATTTCTGAGGGTGTCCTAGCAGCTGCTGAGGGTGCCGCCCTTATGTTTTGCTTTTGTAAATAAATGATAGGTAAAAGGCTTGGCTGACAAAATCTAGCCAAGCTCCATCTATCACTTTTTTTATTCTAATATATAATATATGACAGCAGAATGCATTTCAATTCATAGTACACATATAGAGCGCAATTTTTCATGTCTCTAGTTGTACACAAAGTAGAGTCACACCATTCGTGTCTTCGTACATGTTCTTAGGGTAATGTTCATCTACCACTTTTGTGGGGAACTTTCTTCCTAGGCAGGCACCAAGCACCTCTATGGACTTGACAGGTCCAAGATTCTAGGGCTGTGAAGGAATGACAGTATGCACTAACGGAGATCAGATGGGTACAAAGCCACAGCCTGGGGACACTGCAAGAACCCAGATCATGACCTATTCCATACAAGAAGAATCTTGCTATGTCCCTTTTTGGTTTAGAATGTAAGGGTCTTGTGGGAATGGTTCTGAAGCTGTTCTGTTTCTGGACCAGAACTGGGTCTCTGAAAATGATACACCATGGGCTCCTTCACCACCCCTAAGCTGTTTGCCTTTGCCTCTTCCATTAGAGTTACAGTTTGACAGCTCTGGAAAGAAGATTTTTTGGTTCATATCAATAATTTTATAGACAAGGGGGTAAGCCCAGAGAGGGGAAATGATTTGCCTGGGGTCACACTAGTCAGTGCTAAACCTATGATAATAAAAATTCCTGGTCCAGTGTTTTTCCCTCTGCCTTATGCTATTTTTCTTCCAGGAAGAAACATTAAAAATTAAATCATAATACAGGGCAAGAACTCCCTTTCACGAACCTTGGAGTCAAATCCCCTCTCCACCACTAATCAACTCCATTAGGCAAGTTATTTAACCTCTCTGAGCTCAACTCAGAGACTGAGAATGACCATAAAGCCAAATTTAAATGATAAAGTCAGGACTAAGTAAAATAATTCTTAATTTTTTGACATGTGACAGGTAATGGATACATTTCAGTTCTCTTATTTGCCACTCCTCCTGTGCCTCTACAAAAGGACAGAAGATTCTGGTTAATAGTCTGATTTCTTAACGAGAAATGATTCCTAAAATGCTATTATTTATTGCAGTAAGATTTAATTGAGTACCTTTTAAGTGCAAGAAACAACCCTGAACAGTGAGTGATGTGAAGGGAATTCCAGGATGATTGAAAACATGATCTCAGCCTCAAGGAATTTACCATCTAGTGGCCTTTTTTCATTTAATGGATTATCACTTGCAAATTTAAAATCTAATTTTTTTTTCTAACATGATTTTGTAATGCCCCAGTTCTCCTAGTCAGTTTGTGTCTTGGAAACACCAATTACATAATTACAGTATTAGCCTAAGCAAACCATCATTAAAAAGGCAAACCTGCCACTAAAATTCGACTGGTCTTTCAAATGCTAACTCTTTTTGGGCCTTAGCCATGAAGCCTTCACTGATGGATCACAGCACTATTGCCCACAATCTCAGACATTGCACAACCCTTTTTAGTAGGGCTGTATGTGATGTTTAGCATTTGCCACTCTCAATACATTCAGTGCTTTGAATTGTTCACATCCAAGCTCACTCAGGACACTTTGGAGATGATTTGTGAGTTAACTCCCATCCTGATTTCATGGATGAGAAAACTGAGTATCATGCAGGGGAAATGTCTGTTTCCTAAACTCCTCAACTTGCCTAGTGGTAGAATATGGACTTGGACCCAGGGGAATGTCCTCTGTGATGCCTCTGGGAGTACAGTTGACAGGATAACAGTTCTAGGCCACTGTTGCCACTGCAACTGTCTTTTGTGCTCTCTCCCTGTAGCCAAAAGTGCTGGGCCCAAACTATCCTCATTTCTAATTCTTGGGCAGAGACATTTCACAAGCCTGCAAGGAAGCAGACATCAGGATGGATGTTTTTCTCTCCTCCACCCCTGCCCTCTGTCTCTGTCTACCTTGTCCCCGCCTTCTAAGGGAACACTACCACACACACACATATGTAATTTTAGTCTTTTATGGTTTGAAAATGACACACTGTAGAGGTGGTGTTTCCTGTGCTTTGCGTCACACTGCCAGCAGGAAATTGCTGCACATGCCTGTCTGAACACCACAGCAGCACCACGTCCCCAACCCCCTAATAGGCAAACCACATCTACAGTGAGGGGCGTTTCTGCAGTAGATACCATCTCAACCACCACCACATCTTATGATTCTCAGCTGCCTCCCTCAGACCTTAAGTTCCTTTTAAATGAAGCCAGTTGTCATTGAAGAACTGACTTCCAGGACCTCTGGCGATGTTTTCTGTGAAAGCAAAGAGGAAAGAAACCATCATTTATCCAGGGACTGCATTGCACACAGAGCTTCCCATACACTTTCTCCTTTCATCCTCAGAACAGTGTAGCTGAATCCGTTCAACAGATGAGGAAATAGGGTGAAGAGGATAAGTGCCCTGCAGGATTAGCACTGATCCAATTCCAAAGCCTGTGCACTGAGCTGCACCTCAGCTGATTGTGGGGATTGATGCTGTGTCAACTCTAAGAGATGCATTTCATGTCATTTTTCACTGTTAGAAACATTTACAGTTTGCTTTCAGTTATGTTGGTTTCTAGATTCTCCATCAAAGGTTTCTACCACTCTTTCTACCAAGAAAAAGTCAAGTGTGACAGCTGTCTTAGAAACCAAAATCATGTTTGCTTCTCTGAGGCAGGACAGGGTAGTGGAAAGAGTGCTAGCTGAAGGTTAGGTTGGGCTTCTGGTCCCAGCTCTGTGTGACCTTCAGCCAGTCTCCTAACTTCTTTGGGCCTGAATCATTTCATTTAGAAAGTGAGACCATCTGTGACTATATAAGGTTTCTTTCAGATTTCACAGTCTAAATAAACATCTAAGAGTACTTTCAAATTATACTCTTACCAGATTGCCCAGAATATATTGGGGGATTAAACAACAACAAAAGACTGGTGAATGGGCCAGTCATCTTTCTGGTCAGCCTACTGATTCTCACGGGCAACAGTAGACTAGATAACATCAACCAGGTCCCACACATAATGTTGGGCCTTTGCCTAGTCATGTTGAAGAGTTGGAAGCTGGGTGTGTGCCTATGATCACAAGGAGAAAAGGGGGTGTGGTGGGGAAGATGCTGAAGGCAGAGAGGAAGCATTACTGCTCTTCTAGCTTTCCTCTGTAAGTCCTCACACTCTGTGCACCCAAAAGGGTCAACCTTGGCAGTTAGGGTTGTAGATTTAATTTTTATGCACAATTCCAAGAATGTGCCTGGCATCTGAAAGGAAATTAATGAATGGATAAATGAGTGAACAAATAACCAGACAGGGTTTAGGAGGCAAATTGACCAGCTTATGTAATTACAGAGGAGGCAAATTGACCAGATTATGTAATTGACTAAATTCTTTATATATCTTGTTGAAATTTTAAGGACTAAGTGCTATGATGCATGTTAACTGCCAAGCATGTGGTTCAGTACAAAGCAGATACTTCGTGTTAGCAAAAGGAACAGGGGGATGGGTAGAGAACAATGGGGACATTCATCAGGGCAGTGTCCTCTCTGGGCCAAAGGCTCTTGGGTCTTCATTCTTCCCACCAGCCCACAGGTATTTACTGAGATCTTTGCTGTGCTCAGCTCTCTACTAAACACTATTTGTGTAGAGGATGGTAAAGGACAAAAAGTGTCAGTCCCAAGAAACATACCCTTTGCTCATTTCAACTAGATGGTACAACAATTAGAAAATTCAATGCTAATTTTCTTGGTGCAGTTACAGTTCAGGAAAAATAGGCAATCAATGTGGGTTAGAAGAAAAAAATTTAATAGCATCACAGTGGAACTTTTCCGTGTTCATATCTTTATAAAACTTGGTCTTTGGTATCACACACATGGGGTCATCTACAAAATATAACAAATGACTTAAGAAAAAGAAAAAAGGTATTATTAAACATAGTGGCCATGATAGTGTTAGGAAATATGCAAGTGGCACTTATTAAATTTTAAAGAATTCTTTTGCCACTTTATAACAAAGGGGTCAGAAACCCTTTATTACCAAAATGGTACCAGTCTTTTTAGGGGCCATTGTTTCTAGTGGTCTGATTCTTACAGCCTGTGCTTGTTGTACACAGGCTAGGGTTTACTGGCAGTCATTTAGGTGAGAGCAGATCAAGAGTTGCACAAAGATTCCTACAAAGTACCTTTCAGTCAAACAAAAATAAATGAAGAGAACTGAGGGTTGTTATGCTACAAGGTTTTGTGGTCTCCTTTAGCAAGAATGATGATGGGTACCATATTTTGTGGTGTTTTTTTCCTGTTCTGAGGATGTCCTGTCTTACCAGAAGACCCTACATTGCAGTGGGGCATGGCTCACGGAACCTTGGCGGTGACAGGCTCTTCATTATCTCTAGCCTGACTCAGGCAGGGTGGCTGCTAGGTACTTATTTGCTCACTGGTTTTTTTCACTCAACAAACAGCTATTATTGGGTATCAGTTCTGTGCCAGGCTCTGTACTATGCTGGGTTACAAAGGTGATTAAGATGTGATCCTTGTCCTTAAGGAGTTTGCTATGTCCACAGATGAGTGGGTGAAACAGATGTGCAAATAGATCACTGGGACACAGTGTGGTGAGTGCTGTAGGGGTGGGGCCATGGGAGCATGGGACAAGGCAAAGGGTGCCCCAGTGCTGGAGCTGGGTCTAAGGATGAGGAGCAACATTCTGAACAGAGAAGCAGGGGGGGAGATGTCCTGAGAGCCTTCAGAGTCCTTGGCCTCTTTCCACTCTAAAGCACTTTCAGGCAAACAGTGTGATGAGTTATCTCAGAATTCCTGCCTGGTAGATCCTATGGTCCCTATCTTCACAAGTAAGAAGACTGAAAGTTGATAAAGGCTCCATAGCCTTCCCATGTCCCATCTAGGAAGAATCAGAACTGGAATTTGGACCTAGTTTTGATAACCTTCAAAGCCCATATCTTTCTGCCATATCATCCTCCATTCTTCTAGCATCTACAGAGGTCTCAAAAGAACTGTTTGGAGGACAAAAGCAGTTGAGTGTGTTGGCAAATGTTGTATGGGAGTAAGTGCTGGAAAATGAATCCAAAAAGGTAACTGAAGCCAGGTGGTCTGGGGCCTCACAGGACATTCCTTTAGTGTGCAAGCACAGAATAAATATCCACTCTTTTCTAGACACTTAGCAAAAATGTATTGATTGAATACAGGCCCTGTATTCAATTCAGGAGCTCACTCTGGCCAAGGAGAGGCGGGAGGACTTTTCTCCTCTGGAGTTGAACTTGGGCTTGGTCCTGCTGAGAGGAGAAAGAAAAAGCTGCACAAGCAGCCTGAGAGGGGTCATCTGCTCTGCTCAAAACCTGAGGCAAGGAGAAACTATCAGAAACCATAATTAGAAGGATAATGTCTCTGAAGTGATGGTGTGCTGTCACCATTTTGACTTAGAGATACACTGTCATGACAATGTGTGGCCAAGAATTGTGATTGAACATGTTTGGAGTAGGGTCACTTCCTCCTAAGTGATTGGGAGAGGAGTGGAAATGCCAGCAGAGAGTGGGTAAATAGATATCTCCAGGCATTCATTTTCCGATATAGATCTTGATATCTAGTAATCTTTTGCTCACCAAAGGACATTATTTATTTAAGGGTCTATACAGGTAATATTTTGAGAGCTTATTTAGAATTCTTTTGAGTTAGTTAAATAACACAGGAAGCCCTTTAGAGAGAAGACTCATTGCTAGATCTGGGGTGATTGTCTCCCCACCCCTGTTTTCCCTACTTCCAGCTATGCCCGTGTATACACAAATTATACCAAGCCTTGATGCTACCTTGCTCCATTGCATTCTCTGGCTAAAACAGATTTGCTGCTTTAGGAAGGGTACATATGAGCTTGAACGACAATCATAAAACCCTCTGAGACTTGTGTAGCATGTCATTTTCCAGGAGTTCAGTTTCCTTAAGGCTTTTTGGATACTTTATTCTAAGTATATCTGTGGGGTAAGAAAAGAGATTTTGGATCCTTTTTTTTATTGAGATAGACTCAGATTTATAATGATTATTTTATTGAAATAGAAGCAGAGGTTAAAAGACTGTTTAACTAGAACAATGCTTTTCTAGTCAGTACGATTTAGAGAAGTTTTAGGATGGTATCATTTGTTTTTGTTTGTTTTAGGCCTTAGCTTTTCAGTGAACGTGAATGATTGGGGAATCCTTAAAAGGAGTATCTCCACAAATGGTATTTGCTTGCCCATCCCTGTTACCATATTTGGTCTACCTGATTCTATCCCACTAGTTTTGTTTATTTCCCTAATATTAAGCACAGGGATGCCATACCGTATTCTTCACAGACTTCTAGGAAAGTCTGATAAACTCACTTCATCAAAATGACAGGACTGATGGGCTGGAAACTATCCCACTAGTTTTTTTTTTTTTTTTCCTTTTCAGTACTAGAAATTAAACCCAGGGGCCTTCAACCACTGGTCTACATCCCCAGCCCTTTTTATTTTTTATTTTGAGACAGCGTCTTGCTAAATTATGGAGGCTAGCCTCAAACTTGAGATCTTCTTGCCTCAGACTCCCAAGGTGCTAGGATTACAGGCATGTGCCACCACCCCTGGCTTCACTACCAGTTTTCTTGAGAGTTTCTTACATGCTGTCATGTACAGAGGGCTATTTACATGTATTAGCTTAATCCTCAGAGCAACCCCTTTTACAGATAAGGAAATCAATACATAAAGGAAGCTCATATCATCCCTCCCTGGGTTATTTGCATTTGAAGAGTGGACACAAAGGACTGCAACCAAGACATGAATCTACTCTTGAGAAATATCATACATCATCTGAGGATCATGGTGAAGCCTTTAGGTTTTAAAAAAAAAAGTGTTGGCCTTGAAATTTCTGACTTTCCAGTTAAAGGGAATATTTGCTGGTAATCTGGGAGATTTATGGCATAAAATGTTGTGAGCTCATTTTTCCTGTATGTTTACAAATTTCTTTATGCAGTGTCACAATGAACTCATTTATTTACTGTGGGTTCTTAGTGAAGTAAATCTCTTTTCCTTTTGTAGGCATTTGCCTGAAAAAATTAAGGATGACCAGCAGCTGAAGAATATGAGTGGCCAATGGTTTTATGAAGCCAAGGCAAAAAGGCACAGAGATAAAATCCATGGTGCCGATATTATCAGAGCATCCATGAGAAAGAAGAGGCTCCAAGTGGCAAGTGAGTTGAATTGGCTGATATGCTTATAGCTAGCATTTTTTTCGGGAAGGGAGAGGGGGATGGTGGCGGAATCATTGCTGAAATCTGCCTTGGGAAAACATTTGGAATTATTCTTTCCATAGTGTGTGGCCCTCAACGTCCTCTTCCCTGGATTCAGATGGACTAGGGCAGGGCCAAGTAACTTAGTGTTGTGTAGAGGAACACAGGAAGCCCTTTAGGCACCATGTTGAATTGTAGTAGCGTAGATACTTGGGGTTTATAAGAGATCTACCACCTCTTCATTGACTTATACCTCTGAAAATTCAGAGCCTTCTGAGTAAGGTAAAAGGTTTAGACAGGAAGAAATCAGCCTCCTTATTCAGTGATCTTGATATTGAGCATTCCTTTGCTCACCAACGTGCATTATTTATTTAAGGATCTATAAATGTAATATTTTGAGAGCTTATTTAGAATTATTTTGAGTTAGTTAAATAATTACTGGGTACCTTCTCTCTAACTCTGGGTTAGTCAGCATAAACCCCTGTCCAAGTCTCACCTGTATGCAAGAAGGAAAATAGCTATTACCTCTGAGTGTCTAATATTATTTATAACATAGCAGCAGTCTTCTAAGGCATTATTTCCCCAATACTGTGGATGGGGCTCAGAGAAGTTAAATCCCTTTACCCAAGATCATGTTGTTGCCAAATGGCAGAGCTGGGATTTCAGATCCCACAGCCAAACATCATGTTGGATATATTGTAGATGTTCAGTAAATTCACAGTAAGGATGGTGCTTCAATCCAATAAGTACCTCATGCCTGGCTATGTACATTCAATCCTGACTGATTAAGATCAGATTAACCTAGAGGCAGTTAGAATTTTGCTCTAACAGCTCCTGGAGTTACCTGCACATTTAAATGTACTCCCATGTTCTTAGGAGACTGTGCTTGGGCAGAGGAGCTGATGTCAAGGGAACCTACTGACTTCTTTCAAAGATGTATTTCTGATCCTAAGACTCAGTGATTGGCTTGGCACTCAGAAGGCCTGAGATTCAGATTTAAGTCCTTAATGATAGGAGCCTATAAGAGAATTGTAGATTGTGGAGGTGAGAGATAAACCTTCCTGCCTTTATTGTTTCCTATTTCAGCGGAGCAGAGTAAGGACAGAGCAACTGAAGCAAAGGAAAGCTGGGTGAATAATGTCAACAAAGATGCTTTCCTTCCCCCAGAGCTAGCTGGTGCTGTAGAAGAGCCAAAAGAAGATGCAGCACCACCAAGCCCAAGGTGAGGCAGAGCTTGTTAGGACAGCTGCTGCTTGAAGGGGGTTTCATGGCTTGGTATGTTGTATGGGAAAAATGTGGGCTATGAATATAAATGCTGGGCTGGTGTCATGGACATGTGGAAGTGGGTAGTGTTGAGAGAATTCTGGATCCTCTTGGAGACAAAGCCTAAATTGCTGAATCTTAAAATTAAAATGCTAAATGGTGATTTCTTTCAGCACCAGCAATAGCTGTTTTTCATTTGTACTAAAATTTCTTTTCAGAATAGGACAAAATATTCCAAAATGAATACAGGGGAATAAGTCATTTCAGGAGAGCAAGAAATTATGAGAGTCTAACCTATGGTAGAATGGAACAAGCTCAAGCACAAGAACCAGATGGACATGAATGCAGAACTTAAGCCTACCATTTATAAATGATGTGACGATGGGATGTCATGGTCAATAACCTCTGAGTCCGCTGCCTTTTGGGTATATAAATAGGAATAATATATACCCAAAAGGCAATGGTGAGAACTAGTGTGTAGAATACCTCAATTTTTCAGTTGTGATTTTTTTGTTGTTTTCCATACATGTTTTAATCTGGTCAATTAAAATGTTCATCTGACATCCTTCCTAAGAGGTAGTAGCCAATTGTGAGGCTATGTTGCCACAGCCTTTTGAGCCATGATGATTTGCTTTTAGGTGTTTCAGAATTTTCCCATTAATATCTGTCCCTTTAGAGTACAGTGGATACCCTTTGGTGGAAGGGGCAGTTGCATATCATCTTTAGATCTTCAGTCAAGACAATTCAATTCAGAGCCTACAGTTGGGATGAAGTTGATTAATTTACTGGTGGGACAGCCTCTGAGCTAGAGTGCAAGACTAAAGGGCCTGGGGACAGAGATATTCCCAAATAGATAATAGGTGAGGGGAAGGGTGTGCAGAATAGGTACCTCTACACATTTCAGAGTCAAAGATGAGGAAAGTTGGATAATGGATACTGACTCTATTAAAGTACCTATTATTAACCCATTTTCCAATGGTTTCCCATGAATGGTGGGCTCCCCTGTATCTCCCCAGGATGATTTGTAATGTTCTCTTTTATGTGAGATTGGCTAGAAGGTAAAACATCTCAGTAGTAATTGCTAATTGATACCATGACCTTGCAGTAGTACTGATTCAAATTCCTGGACTTTTATTTCTACAGCTGTAAAATGGAATAATAACAGCATGCTAATATGATTATTGGCAAGTTAATTAGCTGGCAAATATAGAATCTTAATTCAGTCTATAGCACATAGGAATACTCAATAAATGGAAGCATGGGCTATCAAATATAAACAGATATTTCAGGAAACACAAGAAAGGGTGTGAGGAGCATTCTATTCTTGCCCCCTTCGTGTCTCACCATCTACCAAGTGCTTGCAATCCCTCTAATGGATGAAGGCCTTACTTTCATAAAGAAAGATGAGACCTGAAGTATTAGAAACCTGAGGAGAAAGAACACAGTCATCTAGATTCTCCACCAAGGAGCTGAGTGTGACTCTTAAGAGCCAGGTACAACAGGGGCAGAGGAGCACCTAAGCATCGACTAGCTGAGGGAAGAAGGATCAAGTACCACTGAAGAGGAAAGAAGATTTGGGGACATCAGGGATTCACTTAGCTCATTGCACAGTTTTATTTTGTCAGTCTTCCAATTCTCCTTACAAGAACTCTTCCATATCAAAGGGCTTGAGGGACAGAGGAGCCCACCTCATTTTTCTCTTGACTCCATGGGACTGGTGGGCATTCCCTCAGTCTTTCTTGCTTTGAGGATAATAACTTCCATGATTTGCATCTGCATTATTTTCTGCATTCCTTGTGTGACTGCTTTCGAGTCTTTTGGGTATTATTTGTAAATCAGAACAGAGTTACCTGCCTGACCAGGATATTGTGAGATTCAATGAAATAAAGTGTGGGAATCACTTAGGATTTCCCAGGAAGAAAGAAGGTTGACAATTTCCAGGTGGCATTATAATGATGTTATTACACGGATAAGCATGGTCAAGAGGCAAGTGTGAAAGTGTTAGGTGTATCCAGCATGTTTTGCTCATTAAAGAGCAACCCTATAAGATGTGGCATGGTGCTAATCACTTAGAATTGTAGGAGAAGCTACTTTTTACTTCCTCCTTTCCAGGTCAGAAATGACTGCTTTACTTGGTATTAAATTCCTGCGGTGTTTCTTATACTTTAACCTTTGTGAATTGGGTGTGGTAAGTGTATTTGTACTTTCAGACTAAGTGAGTTTCAATGGAATGACTCAATACCTGTTAATATTTTCTTAGCCAGGAGTTAGGAAGTGTGAGGCCACAGTGGCTGAATATTGCCAGCTCTGAAGGAGTTTTTCCAATAGGCTTGGTGCCATGGTCCTTCTTTCTTTCGTGGACACAATTCTGTGGGGCCCTCTCCATGAAGAGTTATAACATTATGGGTACCCAGCATGTAGTCAAGCCTCAGCAGCTACCACATTCTTTCTGAACTCCCTTTTGTTTGCACCTATAGCACAAGGAAGCAGAGGTTTATGAGCAGAGAATAAGGTTCCCTTTAGAGCAGCAAACACTCACAGTTCAAATCCTGGTTATTGACTTTCAGCAAGGCAGTATCAGTTGGATCAGCACTTCATAAACTAGTGAAGGACCTGTTTAAAAATTTTTATTTCTAATCATTATAGATTGTCACCTTTCATAAATTATAAAACTGAAATGCAGAAAGCAATGAACCACTGATCATGTGGTGGAATATCTCAGAAAATAACTATAAATGATTCCCAACATACACTCTCCATTTCTGTACTTTTTCATTGTGAATCAGTGATAAGTTCATGGATTGACACTGGTCCATGAACCACATATTTATAGTACCTTGTGTCACCCTTCCCAAATAATTGTCGAACATGTGCACAATAAGCCACAGGACTTGGCTGAGTCAAGGTGGGGAGTACAGAATAAAGATACAAGCAGCTCTTCCCACATGAGTCAGGACCCTGCTTGTATAATGTGTCCTGAATCTAGAGGCAGGTCTATTCTGGGACAAGAAGCCCCTTCTTTGTCACTTGAGGTTACAAGTTCTGGGAAACAAGTTTGGGTGCTCTGGGTATGGAGAGTCTAGGAGCCTCTACTGACCAGGGCCTTAGATCTCTATAACTGGTACTTCTTTAGACTGATGGACCCTGGAGATATACTGACCACCTCCCCTCTCCTTCCCTCCCGTCTCCTCTCCTTCCCTCTCCTTGCCTCCCTTCCCCTCTCCTCCTCTCTCCTCACCTCACCTCCCTTTAAGACTATCTCTTTAAGGACTGGCCCCTTGGCTAGCTTATATTGTCTTGGCTCTGTAGCTACAAACAGGCCAGCTCAGACCTCTGAAAAAATGATAGTTACCCAAGTATGCTCCAAGCTTTCCAGTTCTTTCCTCCTTCTGGCTTCTCTCCTCTTCTACCCTTCTCTATCCCACACACCTTAGTTGCTTGATGGTGGTTTCCTTTCTCCTTGAAAGGATCTAACATGAATTCTACCCTAAACAATATTTGCCTTTTAAAAATAACTTGAGCCTGTATAGCTGGAAATTTTAAACTTCTTTCCTTTTTTTAGTGGTTACCTTACTGAAACATGAGTATAGACTTGTTTATGCTGTCCTAACATGCAGCTCAAGTCCTATCATCTGGCATTTAGCATAGATGAGGACATTACAGCAAGGCGGAGATTGGATATCTTCCAGGTGCCTGGCTCCCATATTATGCAGACTTTTCTATTAGAAAAATTCTTGGTTCTTATGGTTTCTAAAAGATTTAAGAATTATCTTAAGCATCCTGATAAAGAACAGAATCTTCAACCAAAAGAGGCAAGTTCATAGGTGGAAAAAGAGTTATGTTAGGGGTATTGGGCATCTCAGTGCCCTGACAGTGCACTAAGAAAGCAGCCCTAGTAACAGATATCATCAGTCAGAGGTTAGTGACTGTTTTTTGTGGTAGCAAAAGTATCCAGAGAGCTGGGTACGGTGGCACATACCTGTAATCCCAGTGGCTTGGAGGCTGAGGCAGGAGGATTGCAAGTTCAAGCCAGCCTCAGCAACTTAGTGAGGCCCTAAGGAATTTATAAAATGCTGTCTCTAAATAAAATTTAAAAGGTGGGGTGGTGGCTGAGGATGCAGCTTAGTGGTTAAACATTCCTAATTTCACTTCCTGATATATATATGTATATATAGTAGCCAGGGATGTACAGTTGGCCAACCTGAGCCACTGAAAAAAGAGGCCAGAAAAAGTATAAGAGAGATGTGGAGAAAAGTAGGAAAAAGAAAGGTAATATGTATGAATGGTGAAAATAGAAGCGTTAATCCATATGTTGCTTAATTTTGCTTTTAGGATATTTATTGGAAATAAAGTATTTAAATACTCTTATGGGCAACTGATTGAAAGCACAGATTTGTACCTTGCTTGCATTCAATGGAATAAATCATTCTTTGGGTTACTAGTTCATTTTTAATTCAGTCATTTATTTGGTTAGTCAACATTATTGAGTATTTAATTGTATACATCATGGTAATGAAGAGTTCAAAGGTGACTAAGGTCTCATCCCTGTCTTCGAGGAGTCCATTGTTTGGAGGAGAGGCTGACACGTATAATTGACAACAGTATTTAAAAAGCCATGAAAGAGCTGGGTGCGGTGGCATATACCTGTAATCCCGGCAGCTCCAGAGGCTGAGACAGGAGGATTGCGAGTTTACAGCCAACCTTAGCAACAGCGAGGTGCTAAGCAATTCAATGAGACCCTGTCTCTAAATAAAATACAAAACAGGGCTGGGGATGTGGCTCAGTGGTCAAGTGCCTTTGAGTTCAATCCCTGGTACCAAAAATAAAATAAAGGCCATAAAAGAACAAATAGCAGTGCTGTGTCCAGTGTAGGGGAGGGATTGTCTGGGAACTTCTGGAGGTGGTTGTATTTGAGGTGATTCTTGAATGATGAAAAAGGCTATGGTAGACACAGGGAGA